CAGCATACCCTCATACCTTACAGACTTCAAACCGGGACCATTATGATATTGCTGATCCTACCCATATATCTTTCCATATCCTCCTTTTATATAATATATGTATTTTATCTCATAAAGCTAATCATTTGCTTTGAATTTTTCCAAGTAAGGGTGAATCTCAAATGGCATATGTTCCATCTATCAACAAACACATAGTCTTCTCTTCCCACTATACAAAGCAAAAGGGCATCATATGCATCCCCCCAACAAAAAGCTGACGTATATATATAGGTTTTCAGTTTCGCAGGATGAAAAGACTATATCTTCACCTACAATTGTAACACGATAATGTGCACTCTCGATCGCTGCCTTGTCACTTTGTGAATTGTGCCAAATAGAACTTGATCACTAGAAACAACATCCACAAATAATTTTTATATTAAAAAAGAAAAAAATCACAGCTTATTAAATCTGACTAGCAAGTGTTGGATAAAAGCAATTTTTATATGTAGTCTTGTTTTTATATAATTGTAAAGAGACAGTTTCTTGGATTCGAATCCATGACCTTACAGTCATAAAGAAATAACTTTATCATTGCTCCGATTGGTCCTCTTAGATAATTTTTATATTATATCTTTAAATACGTCAACTCTTCTTCTTTATCCTGGTTTGGTACAAGTTATGTATGCATCGCACAACCATCGGTTCCAATCTTTCACTGCTTGTTCATTTGAATTTAGCCACCATCAACCTCGATTAATTTAAAATAAAGGTGTTGTTAATATTGATATTTAGCACAATTTCTTATGCAAGAGCGCCTTAGTTTGAATTATAGATAATACATATACCAACTTACCTTATCTTGAAATTCAAATTTTATAAAAAGAATGAGATCAAAAGGATCAAACTCTACACCACCTAGTTATAGAGTATATATATCATATCACTATAACCAACTCTTTAAAAATTTAAGTTGTCAGCGTATAGTGTAGACACATAAATAATTTTTATTTATATGGGTAACCCCATTTCCAATAAGCTTCACTTTATCAGCATATATATCTTTCACACACCCATTTTGAGACCAAAATTGTGGATTAATTTGACGATACGAACCATGAGGATCTTGAGAAGAAAGCAAGTTTTGTCAATGTCAAGAAAGCCATGAAATGCCCCACAGGTAATTTGTCCATGCACATTCATTATTATCCATCAAAGTTTGAACTTTGAAGAGGCCTACAACCTCTGGATTTGAAAAAAAGGAAAAAGAAAAAAACTTTTTCTTCATCTGGACCCTTCCTGTTGGTTTTGACAAGCAGGATATACGCAGCTTATTTCTCAAGTAAATATATGTATAAACAGTTAAACACTTAACATAGTAATTCAATGTAATACATTATGTATTATTGCAAATGTAGATTACGCACAATTTGTACGTATATGCAAAAATACATATACGACATACTCGAACATTTTTATTTTTTATTTTTAACTATGAATACGAAAATATATGTTAAAACTTGGTCACGAAGTTGATAAAATAAATACAAATAAATAATCCAGATTTTGATAACTCAAGCAAAATGAACCGACAATGGATAAATTCAGCTAAAGTGTACTATACCCCCTCAAACAAATGAAAGTTTTAGTAAAATTAAGAAAGTGCAATTTGAAACATAGCTGAAGCTTCTTGCCACGGGTTATTCAGCTATATTAACCAATTAGCTGGAGTTATAGAAGCTTTTGCCAAAAGCATAATGTAATCATTTTTTTGTCTTCAATGCTGTTGGGATAAGAATTTGTAATCATATATAATTGATGATGTGGCACTAACTAATTGTATTAGTTAGTTGCATTAAATGTGTTTTGATAAGTTTGTTATTCAGTTAATGAGTTGTATAAGTACTCATCCAAGTGTTAAACTGGTTCAGAAGTTTATTCAATGAATACATGCTTTCTTTTCTGTTTTCCTCTTTCTGAGATGCGCTTCATCTTCTTCTGCATCATCTTCATGGTATCAAAGCTTTGAAGCTCTGGTATCCACTATTCTTTTGCTGCGTTTACTTCGAGTGCTTCCATGGATCCTTCAGACTTCAACATGGAAAACTCAAGTGAAACAGAAAATCAAGATCCAAACACAAACCACAACCATACACATACCTCGAAGGAAAATCAGATCCAATCGTCTGATTTCCTGAATAATCCGCGAAATCCTCTCTATCTTCATCCTAATGAAAATCCATCCACCATACTTGTTTCACCGCTTTTGCATGGTTCAAATTATCATTCCTGGTCACGAGCTATGCAGATGGCTCTTAGTTCAGAGAATAAACTATGTTTTATAGACGGATCTATGAAGATTCTTTCAAGATCTGATGAAAACTATTCAGATTGGCAGCGATGCAATAACACAGTCCTAGGCTGGATTCAAAGATCGGTTGATGACTCTATTGCACAATCGATTTTGTGGATCGACTATGCAGAAGATGCTTGGAATGATCTCAAGGATCGATTCTCTCAGGCTGACATCTTTCGGATATCAGATCTGCAAGACGACATTTGCAGATTAGAGCAAGGAAACAGAACAGTTGCTCAATATTTCACAGAATTGAAGATCCTTTGGGATGAGTTTGACAACCTGATTCCACTTCCAAGATGCACATGTCAGGTACAGTCTTCTTGTGGTGGATATAGTAGCATGCGCAAGATCAGAGATAGAGATCGAGTGATTAGATTTCTTAAGGGATTAAATGATCAATATGAGCATGTTAGTTCTCAAATCATGCTCATTGATCCACTTCCTGTTGTTAACAAGGCCTTTTCCATGATCAAAGATTTGGGTTCTCTCAAGTTTTTCTTGGGACTTGAGGTCAGTCGTTCAGATGCAAGACTGGTTCTCAATCAGAGAAAGTACACATTGGATCTTCTACAAGATGCTGGTCTCTTAGCTTCCAAACCGGTCAGCACTCCAATGGATCCCTCTATGAAGTTGCAACAGGTTCAAGGGGAAGTTTACTCTGATCCTGCCTCCTATCGTCGTCTCATTGGTCGACTGTTATACCTCACAACCACACGACCAGATATCACCTTGGCAGTTCAACAACTATCTCAGTTTGTGGCCAATCCCATGACTATTCATCATCAAGCAGCCACTCGGGTCTTAAGATATCTTAAAGGCTCTCCAGCAAAGGGTTTATTCTATCCCATAACCAATGATCTTCATCTATCAGGTTTTGCAGATGCTGATTGGGGAGCTTGTCTTGATACCCGAAAATCTATCACTGGTCAATGTATTTTCCTTGGTCCTGCACTCATCTCCTGGCGTTCTAAAAAGCAGACGACAGTGTCACGATCCTCCACTGAAGCTGAATATCGAGCATTGGCTTCCATCAAGCTGAATATCGAGCATTGGCTTCCATCACCTGTGAAATCCAATGGCTCCATTTTCTTCTCACTGATCTTCAAGTCCCTGTTTCTTCTGTTCCTACTTCACTTTATTGTGATAACAAATCGGCTATCTACTTAGCCAACAATCCAGCTTTCCATGAGAGGTCTAAACATATTGAGCTTGATTGTCATATCATTCGTGAGAAGCTTAATCTTGGCATTCTCAAGCTCTTTCCAGTTTCTTCCCACAACCAGTTAGCTGATGTGTTCACCAAGCCTTTGCATTCAGGGCCATTTCTTTCTATTATTTCCAAGCTTGGTCTTTTGGACATCCATAGTCCAGCTTGTGGGAGGGTGTAATCATATATAATTGATGATGTGGCACTAACTAATTGTATTAGTTAGTTGCATTAAATGTGTTTTGATAAGTTTGTTATTCAGTTAATGAGTTGTATAAGTACTCATCCAAGTGTTAAACTGGTTCAGAAGTTTATTCAATGAATACATGCTTTCTTTTCTGTTTTCCTCTTTCTGAGATGCGCTTCATCTTCTTCTGCATCATCTTCAGAATTCAAGTGAAAATAGGAAAGTTCCACATTAGTTAGATGTATGTTAAGCTACAACTCACAATTAGGGGTGTTAACGGACCGAGCCGAGCCGAACTTTGGTCTTAAAAGGCTAAGCCTGTATTTAAATGTGTCAGCCTTGCCAAGCTTGTTACCTGTCATGAATATAATTTCAGCCTATGGCCTGTTTTATTTACAAAAAATAAAACCCTGGTTTAGTCTGTTTTAAAAAAAAATAAGACAATAAAAATTTATTCAAACAAAATATACAATCAAGGTCACTAGTAATTCCATAAATATTCATAAATTTAATGTATATTCAAATAGCATAATATAAAATAAAATCATTCAAAAAGTCTGTTTAATTAATAAAATGAGATGAAATGGATTGAGGAAAGAGAGAGGGCTATCACAAGTAGTATAAAAAAATTAAAAAAAATTTAAAATTAATATATTAAGAAAGCCTGAGAGGCTCTAAGACCGAACTTTTGAATTGGAGCCTGAAGCCTTTTTATTAAACGAGCTTTTATACAAGTCCAAGACTGGGTCCAACCATCAATTTTAGACATGAAAGCTCAGGCCTTTACGAGCCGAGCCAAAAGCCCCTGGCTCGTTTAGCACCCAGCTCACAATCATAAGTGGAGTCGGACAACTGCAGGTTTGTTTGAACCCATGACTTGGACTCTAATATCACTGTAAAACAATCATTTTACCAAATAATTCAAGCTAATAAGTGAAGACTAGTTTTTATATTTCTTTTTAATGCCTTAAGCAATTAATAAAAGAAGATGAGATCTTATAAATGAAAACAAATTAAAAAAATTGGATTTACATCTATGACTTTACCATCAATATGTTTTGTATGCAGTGTCAATTCCAACAGAAGGAAAAGAGAACCAAAGTAAAAGAAAGAGAACAAGAAATAAACAAAGAAAGAAGGAAAAAGTTAGCCTCCATTTAAACTGGGTGCTTATATATATAGTTCTCAAATGTGTAGCCACGGCTATATATATTCATCCCAACCAGTTCACAAATTAATTAGTAATAAGACAATTCACATATATATCTTTACTGGGTGAAATCATTATCATGCTCTACTTCAGATGCTGGCTCTTCATCTTCTTCAAATCCATCGGTTCCATAAGGTGCATGGCCACTCCCAAAAGCTTTTATATGATCTTTAAGGGATCTCTTGTGCTTGAAATCAGAACCACAGATGCAATACCACAGCTTCCCACAGTTCTTTTCATGGGTTCTCCAATCCCCTCTAACAGCAAAAGCTTTCCCACATTTTCTGCACATGAAGGGCTTAATCCCATGCTTCCTTTTGTAATGTGTTTGAAGGGTTCTAAAATCTTTGAGAGGCTTTGCTCTTGGGTGATCAATGTTGTTCCTGCAACCTGGGGTACAACAGTAACAAGGAAGCCTAAGCATACCTGTTGGTTGTGTACCCCTCAGAGATTCAGGCCCTTTTCTGTACTGTGATCCATGCCCCCACATATGCATCTGACAAAGAAACAAAAGATGAAAAAATTATGGATACCCCAAAAAAAAGAACAGGTTAGGATAAAGCTAATGAATAAAGCAAAATAATTCAAAACTGTATTACATATTGTGAAAGTTTAAATGAAAAACAAAAACAAACTGTGGGCTAGCTACCTCGCTTTGTAGTGTGATGTAATTATCACGTTCATAATCAATAATCATAAAGGTGCCAAGATTTAATTTTGTAGTGTATCATTTTTTTTTTCTTTTCACCTTTTTTATGGTTATTAACTTCTTTTGCAAATCAACTGCAGTTGCCATAGACAATAATTATTTAATTCAAGGACACTATGATATAATAAAAAATAAAAAAATAAAAATTCTTCCTTCACCACAAATTAAATGAAATTTAGATTTACTTTCTTTGCCATATATATATATATATATATATATCTACAAAGGAAAAAGAAGGGGTATTGGAGGGCAAGAGAGTGAGGGGTGTAGCTATGTCCATGTATGGAACTTTCAGGTATGGAAGGTGTTTGGATTCAGAGCGAAAAGAACCACAAAGAGAAACAAATCTATTGTTGGACTATATATTATCATTATCAAAGAAATCTGGAAGAAAACACTGCAAATTTTCTGTTGTATGTAGCTGCATGCCAAAATATTTATGAAGCACAGACTTCAATGTACTAGAGAGGGCATAAAGAACATTGCCTGAGTAGTTTAATCAAAGAAAAGGATAGGATATGATTTCAGTCACAGTTTGAATCAGGAAAAGATTTGTTATTATGATTTTAATTATTATGATTGAATCAGGACAAGAAAATGACCCTGGAAAAAAGGGGAAGAAAAATAGAAAGAAAGAGGAAGGGAAAAAAAAAAGTAAACAAAAAAACAAAAGCAGGAAAAGAGGACAATGTTTTCCTCTTGCTATAATCCAAGCATCGAAAAGCCTTTAGCCACGCTTCAGATCAGGCAAGAAAGTTATACACCACAACCAAGCAAATTCTTCTTCTTCCTTCTTTTTTTTTTTTTTTTTTTGTATGTATAAATTTTATTTTATTTTGTATGTATAAATTCTCTAGAGAAAAGAGAGCGAACATGAAGTGGTGGTAAAGCTAAGCTAAAAATCACGGGTTTGAATTTAAGAAACATTTATTTTGTTGTAAAAAGTATAAAAATAATACAGTGTATAAGGATTTCTCTCGTCCCTATTTTCATATATCATTGTTCCATGGGAGTGGTTTATGAATTGGGAGAAAAGTGAAAGAAGAAGCATAAAGGAGAGAGAGAGAGAGAGAAAGAGATAGAACATAAGAAGAAGGGTCTTTTCAAGATGTGTTGGTGATGGTTTACCTGCATGTTATTGTATCTGTTGAAGGTTTTGCAGCATACAGGGCAAGAGAACTGTGTAGGACCAATGAGAATCTGAGATGGGGTAGGGATCCAATACTGTCCCTTGTTGAGTCTGTTTCCCAAGAACCCTGAATCCTCACTACCATTATCTCTTAATTGTTCTTTGTCTGAAGAAGAAGAAAACACAGAAGCCAAATCAGCAGCACTAGGGCTTGGCAACCCTATGTGAAGTGAAACAGTAACACCTTCATTATCATCATCATCCTCATCTTTTTCTTCCTCTTTGGGTAATTTACAATAATGGCGGATCTTGCTACAGTCCTCTTCCACAATATCCATGGCACTGCAAGATTGATCCTGATCTTGTTCTTGCTCTTCATTATTCTCTTGCTTTGTTGGGGTGAGGCTCAAAAGTGGAAGGGCTACTCTAAGAGGAGGTGAAGGGGGTGAAGAAGAAGAAGAAGTTGTACTAGTAGTTGTATTTTGATGGTGATGGTAGTGGAAAAAGCTATTGTTGATGTTGTTGTTTGTGGTGGTGTGGTTGATGAAGTTGTGGATATAGGGATGATGAGGAGAAGGGGTTGAAGATGGGTAATGGTTGGTGTGATTGAATCTGAAGAAACCTGAGAAGAAATTAGAGTAAGGGTCTGCCATGGGTGAAAAAAAAAAGAGTTAAGTTTTTAATGAGAGAGTAAGAACAGTTCTAAGGGTTATGTGGGTTTACTTTTATACAGATAGAGAAAGTACAAGATGACTGAAGGAAGTGGACGATGCAGAGAGAAAGATAGAGAGAGATGAGAGAGGTATCAGGCATGGGGAAAGAAGTAAAGTCAAGTGGACGAGAAAATAAAGTAACAAAACACAACGAATCATTTTAATTAAAATCTTTGATAATTAGTATTTAATCATTAACAAGAATGCAGAAATGTAAAGACTTTTATTATTATTATAGTATCATTCTTTTTGTGGAGAATACCGTTAGCGGCAGTTTATACTTTATAGCATGGAAGACTATTTAGTTAATGGTTTTTTTAATACATTTCTTAATTTCCGTATTAATATGGGTTTTATATATGATTTTTTCCAATTTCCCATATTACTTTTATTTCTATAACATTAATTAATTTATACATATATATATATATATATGTGTGTGTGTGTGTGTTTGTGTTTTCTAAAGTTACTTTAGATAACTTTATCAAATGTTCACCGAAACGACGTCGTTTTGGGACGGAAATCATGGTGTTTTTGTAATTTTAATTTATTTCAGGATTATAGTAGTCTTTATCATTGTAATTTTTAATTTTTCAACCACAAAACGACGTCGTTTTGATGAACATTAGACAAAATTATCTAAAGTAACATGAGATACTTTTTTCCCTATATATATATATATATATATATATATATATATATATATTTGATAAACTAGTTAATTTATATTTATTAGTAGGGTTTAGTGTTTTCAAGATATAATTTTATTTTAGGCCACCTAAAATAATGTCGTTTGAGGTAAGGAAAGAGAAATAAAGGTGTTTAATTTTAGGAATTTTTTTGGTTATCAAATATTTTAAAAATAATTTTCAAACCCCAAAATAATATGATTCTGGACTTATGGATATAATTTCATTTCATTTGACACAAAAAATATTTTTCTCTTAAGGAAAAAATATTTATCCTTTTAAAAGACAGTTATTTTAGTTAAAATAATTGATGTTTATTTAATATTTAAATTAAAAAAAAAACTCCACAATTTCTATTATCATGATTTCTATTGTATGACTCTTTTTCTCATCATAAAAACTGCAGTTTTGAGTGAAAACATAATTTACCCGACCCGGTCTATAAAAAACAACTAATTTATTTTCATAAATTAATGTTTTTTTTTTTACCCTCAAACACAAATGGTTTGTTTTCTTTTGAAATATTTAAGTGATTCGTATAACTTATTAACTTACGTAGATTATGTACTTACAACACTAATATTATCTTGATTATGCAATATGCAGAGAATTTTGATTTGATTTATAGTTAGAGATGTCTTTTATTGAACCTGAAACACTAATATCACAAATATTATATGTTTGATTGATTTTTTGTTGGACAATGATGTGTAATTTATTATTTTCATATTAAAATATTTGAAATTGGTATATTTTTTTACAAGTATTTAAGTATATTTATAGTATTTTTAATATAAATTGTAGATTTACATATACTTATTGGGTCATGCGGTTGAACCAGTGACCCACTGGTTGAACCGGTGACCCAGTACTTCGACCGGGTCAATAACCGAGTCGGGTTTAATAACATTGCTTAAAATGGTAGTTACTCCTAATATATATATTGAACCAAGAGACAAACAAAGACTTGCAACTAAGAAAAAAAAAATTGAAATTAGAAATTTTATAACCGCACCCGCAAGTGGGTCCGCCAGTGAATAGGACCAATATTTAAGCGCAAAATTTGCTAGCATTCAATATATATTATAATAAAAGGCAATATATTTATCATATTAGATGAGATAAAATATACAAAAAATAAGAGAGATCTAGTGAAGAGAAGAGAGAAAAAGAAAAAAATAAATTTTGCTCATTTTGTATATATGTGTGCAAGAAACAAAATTATCTCATATTAGCCATGATAAACATATTTCCCTTTAATAAAAGGGATAAATAAGAGTTATGTTGTAGGAAAAATAATTTGGTTATGTTAAGATAAGACAAAACCAAATTATTGAACAAAGTGTCTTATCATATTTTTTTATTATTTTTATTTTTTGTCTTTTAGTGTTGCATGACATCATGTAACATGATAAAATAAAGACCCTTAATAAAATGGGGTTTTTCTCTTGTTACTTTTATCATTTAAACTACTGACTGTGATCATCGCTTTCGGAGTATGACTTTTGCTTGCATCTTATTAGTTTTTTTTAGGAATATACTTCCCACCAAAAAAGTTTACAAACTTTACAACTATCATAATCACCATTGATTTTTGTCAATCTATAACAGTATAATTTATTGAGAATAATAATTAATTAATAAATACGACCCAATAATTTCCAATAAATTATAACTGTTAGGTTGGTTGTAAATGTTGTAAATTTTTTGATGATAATATAAGTATATTCTTCCCTTTTTTTCTATATCTAATTTTAATTTTGTAATCATTGCAATTCTATATGGACTTTTGCCACTCCATTGACCCCAACCCCATCTTCTTTTTCGGTTTTCTATATGGTTTCCATTTTCAGTTTGGATCTCATTTCAAAGATGCATGAATTCAAAAGAATTATAAAGACTTTAGTAAAAGTTGCCAAACTATAAAATATAATTTTTGTTTTGCCTTGAAAAAAATTCCTTTATAGCAGAAGCAAAAATGGATTTGAATTAAAAGCGTTTGGTTAAAGCATATATATGCGTTAATCTCATTATATTTATAATTATTGAACAACACATCGTTATATTGTGTTGTCTTTCCCCTTCTTCTTTTTTATTAGGAATTGAGTATTGCAAATTGATGGTTAGATGAATGGGAGTCTAAGGAGCGTTGACAACAGTTCTTTCATTTATTGTTTTCAGGATAATATGTAACGACTGTAAGGGTAAGTAGTAAGTACTCAATGTTGTAATTCGAGCGGTCAAAATTGGTAACAAGCATCTTTAACCATTAAAGTAACAACTCCGGTTTTATTATTTTGATTTAATTAATTCCTTCTTAGATATTGGTGTCTGATGCTACAAGGTAGAAGGATAAGACTTAATATATTAGTATAACTAAAGATCACTTAATTAGGGATGATAAAATATGTTGTGATATGCATGTCGACCCACGATACTACACATCAAAAAGAGCGTTGTGTCGACCCTTAGGTTCAAACTAATCGTATTTGGGTTTGAAAAAAATGACATTAATTATTATCGTGTCGTGTAACTCAGTCATGTGTCAACCTGCAAAAAAATTTTCTCTAAAATAAAAAAAAAAAGTTTGAATTTCGGTTATCTTGACAGACTTACTGTGGATCACAAGTCAACTTATGTATTTCATTCAGGTTTTCTTGTTATTATTAAGATTTAAAAAAATCAAGTTTTGTCTGGGTTAGAATTTGTGACCAGCAAACAAAAATGTGTTATATTCAAGTTGGATGATTCCACATGCCAATCAAATCATGACATGACATAAATATGACCTGCTGACGAATAAATTTTTGGTACTATTGCTGTACTAAAAATTCAGTGCATCTCATTAATGATAATATTACATGTCAGTTAAAATTTCTTTTTTTCTGTCAAATTTTCTCTCTCTCCTCTGATGTGTAATGTTTTCATTGATGAAATACACTGAATTTAGGTACAACAGTAGTACCAAAGATTTATTTCCCGCTGATATATTTTGTTATCCTTAAATTTAATTATGCTATAACTAAACTAATGAAGTTTTATATTACTGAGGGTGTGATACACAATTTAATTAGTATTAATAAAGCACCTATTTGCTTTTTTAAGAAACTTATCTTTTTATAAAATAAATAAAAAAGTAAGTAATTGTCTTAATTAACGGTGGTGTTGGTAGATGCCTCAAAAATGTTGTAGATAACGATCAATAGAGATGATGATAATGATAGTGTTATGTCTCGAAGTCCGACACTTATAGCTCGGCCTTTATATTAAATAGTTCAACCTTCACCAAATCGGATTGCGAAAATGTTGAAGAACAGTAAATCGAAAAATGAAAAACAGAGAAAAGGAGGAACATAGAATACCAAAATATTTAAGGAAAACCTCTTTATGTGAAGATTAAAAATCACGGGACCAAGTCCAAAAAACTTATATTATGAATAATGAGATTACATAAAGATTCAATGTGGTGTAATAACTATATGACTTCACTCTCTAAAACGATGGATTAGACAATTGTCTCACACAAATGTTTCTCTATGTAAAAAGGATAGAAATCCTACTCTATATGTTTGTACATAGGTGTCTTAGAGACAGTCTGAGGGTCAGATTGTAAAAACCCGTACCGTTAAATTAAGAATTTAAATAATTAATTATGAGTTTAGGAAATAATTCCATAATTGACCTTGAATAATTATGAGAGGAATTAAATAATTAATATAAGGGTTGAATAACGCTTAAAGTTACTTTTCTGACGAAAAGTGCAGATATCGGTTCTGCTTCTCGGTATAAGTGTGTACCGGTGAAGTATCCCAAAAAATTATAATAAGTGTATGAATATTCTTAGAATACTATCTAGGACTAGTAAACCAAGTTTGGAGTTATAATTACAGGTATTGATGTCAGAACTAATACCGGCGACGTGAAAATGCGTACCGGCAAAGTGTTGCGAAAAATATAAAAAAATATAAAAAATTCTAGAAAAATGGCTAGGTTCAGAATATGAAGTTTGAGATTAAAATGTTTAGCGAAGCTATTAGTGCTAATATCAACGAGTTAAACTTAAGTGAACCATATATACAAAAGGGCACACTTTTCTAGGTCAGATTTTCCTCCCTTCTACGTGAGTTTCTGATACTCCTTGGCTGCCATCTTCTTCTTCATAGGAAAGTTAGAGCTTTTCTCCATTTTCAAGCCCAAGACTCCACCTTTTACTCTTGAAAATTCTCCTCCATCATTGTGTAGACTTGTAGC